TGAGGTAACTCAGGATGCGAGAGGTATTTGTTGCCTTCTTGTAAACTGTCGTTTTGAGCTCCCCACCATCTTTTCTGCACACCAGCACGTCGAGGAACGGCAACTGACAATTTTTTTTTCCTCCATCATGAACCGGATTTCGGGGAAGATCGAGTTCAGATTCTCTGTGAAATCCCCAATCTTGTCTTGACGAATAATGTTAAGGGTGTCATCAACATACCGAACCCACAATCCTGGTCGATAATGTTCGAAAGCCAGTGCCTCCAGTCTTTGTAGCACTGCTTCGGCAATCAGGCCAGATAACAGCGACTCCATTGGTGTACCTTTTACTTGTTCATACACCGTTCCATTAAAGGTGAAAAATGTGCTCAAACAATGTTTAAGGAGTCCATTGAAATGCCTTATTTTGAGCTTCGTGCCCGCCTCGTTGTACATCTCTTCTAACAGGGTTTGGATGGTTTCGACCACAAGATGTTGCGTTATAGAGGTCAAATATGAGGTCACATCAAAAGATACCATCACTTCGTCAGGTGTTAGTTGAATACCCTGTAGCTTTTGTACGAATTGTTTAGCTGAGCTGACGGTCGTTGCAGAGCCCTGGGGTAGAAATTTAAGACGTTGAAACAACCACTTGGCTAGACCAAATGTTGGGGTGCCTCTGAGGGTAACGATCGGTTGTAGGGCGATTTCTGGTTTGTGGACCTTGGGGAGGCCATAGATCCTTGGGAGCGCCGCATCCTTCGGTTTTATCTTTTGCCAGTCAAACTGTGTTATGGCTTTGACTTCCAGAGGCTTGTCAGAGCCTTGTTGATGCTGCTTATTAGCGTCTTCATCGCGTCACGTTCCCGAGGTATGCAGGCAGTCCTATCACCCAAAAGGGTCTCGACTTTCTTGACGTAGTCTCCCTTGTTTAGAATGAGTGTCGACCGCCCTTTGTCAGCTGGAAGTATAACAATGTTTTTGTCAGCCTTTAGTATCTGTAGTTCCTCGCTTTCAGTTTTCGAAAGCGTCTTGCGTTTTTTGTGGGACATCAGTCTGGAGGATATTCGCTGTCCCACAGTTTATGTTACATGAGGAGTCTCATGAAATTCGGAAGACCTGCTAGACGCGCTAGCCTGAATATATATAAAAAAA